CTTCGTGGACTGCCTCTACGGCACGGTGCCCAAGCTGAAGGAACTGCACGTGCACCCGCCCGGCATGCAATACCCGGACCTGCAGCAGGACGCCAGGCTCAAGGAAACCCTCCTCTTCGCCGCCGCCGCCGCCGCGAAGGGCTTCCCCGAGCACCAAACCCCCACAAGCGAATACCTCGAGTTAAGGGCCAAACTCCAAACCAAGCCGGATTACCTCGAAGTCCTGGAGAAGACCACGTACCGGTTCTGACGCCGCCGCCCCGGGCCCCGGGCCACGAAGTGCCTTCGCAGACTTTTGCCAGCAGATGTTAACCAATCATTATTTTTTTATACTGAAACTGAGACTTTGACTGTGCCATGTCTAAGGTATATTATTATTATTATTATTATCACCAGGGATCTTTGTATTGATCCTGATTAAGTAAATTCTATGTGTCTCTCGCTCTTTTTTTCTTTTATTTCCCCCCTTCTTTTTTATTTTATTTTATTTTTCTCCTTTTTGCGTTGCAGTAAAACTTTTAGATTTCCCCTTGAAGGGACAGGGAGGGGGAGGGAAGATGGCTTTTTTTTTTCTTTTTTTGTGGCTTGCTTTCTTCTCGCCCACCATGGCACAGATTATGTACATTTATTTAAAAAAAAAAAAAGAAAAAAGAAAAAAAAATGCAAAAGAAGCAAACGAAGGCTGTTTGCTGCATGCCTGGAAAACTGCAAGAGGGCCGGGAGGGAAGGGTCTTGCTCGAATGTCTCGCTCGCGTCGCTCTCCCGCTCGCACCCCCCATGGGCACCCCTCTGTGTCCCCAAATCCGGGGGGGATCCCACCAGGGACGTCCCCACGTGGCACCCATCCCCCGGGGATGCTCCGTGACACCCCCTCATGCCGCCATGGCTTATTTTTTTTATTGTTATTTTTTTCCTTTTAAATTAATTTATAAATATATATTTTTTTCTTTTCTGGAGGACACCCGCACTTTCGTAATAAAAGCAACGTGCAAATATGCAGGAAAAAAAAAAAAGGGAAAAAAAAGGAAATAAAAATTTAAAAAAAGCTCCTGGGCACCTGTCACTAACGGCTTTGTAGGAAGCACTTTTAATGTTTTCTCTCCTACACGCACACACACACACAGAGGTACAACGATGTGCATATATTTATTCTGTAATTTCAAGTGAATATAAATTGTAAAGGTAATGTTTAATCATTGTACAGTGATGCGTCTGGTATAGCTTTCCTAATAAAACATTTCGAAAAGAAAAATGAACATATATATATATATATACATATATATATATATAGGAATACGAAGCTTGAACCTGAAGCTTCCCCCTACTGAGCTTTCCTTCCCCACTTAACCTTGGGAGCTATTCTATTAATAAGAGCTCAGTGCACTGTGATGTTCCCAGAGGAAACCCCTGTGCAGCTTCTCCTGCCACCCGAGACTTTTTTTTTACAAAAAAACCCCGATTTAGCGCGTATATATATGTGTACAGCGCGTATACGGATGTGTACAGCGCATATACGGGTGTGTACAGCGCGTATACGGGTGTATACAGCACGTATATGTGTGTATACATCACATATACCTGTGTGTGTACAGCGCGTATATGTGTGTGTGTATAGCGCGTATATATATGTGTACAGCGCGTATACGGATGTGTACAGCGCATATACGGGTGTGTACAGCGCGTATACGGGTGTATACAGCACGTATATGTGTGTATACATCACATATACCTGTGTGTGTACAGCGCGTATATGTGTGTGTGTATAGCGCGTATATATATGTGTACAGCGCGTATACGGATGTGTACAGCGCATATACGGGTGTGTACAGCGCGTATACAGCACGTATACGTGTGTATACATCACATATACCTGTGTGTGTACAGCGCGTATACGAGTGTGTACAGCACGTATATGTGTGTGTGTATAGCGCGTATATATATGTGTACAGCGCGTATACGGATGTGTACAGCGCATATACGGGTGTGTACAGCGCGTATACAGCACGTATACGTGTGTATACATCACATATACCTGTGTGTGTACAGAATGTATATGTGTGTATACATCGCGTATAGCTGTGTGTGTACAGCGAGTATATGTGTGTATACATCGCGTATACGGGTGTGTGTACAGCGCATATATGTGTGTATACATTGCGTATACGGGTGTGTGCATCGCGTATACCTGTGTGTGTACAGTGAGCATATGTGTATGTACCCCAAGGTACCTTGTACCCCGAGGTGCAGGGACTCTTCCCAGCGTCTGTACATCCAGCATCAGCTTTGCATTATTGGTTAAAACAGTCTGCATCTGAACTTCCCACGCTCCTCTGTTGGGCTTATAGTGTTTTATGCCAAATGCGTTCAGCACTAATCTTTTTTTTTTGTGTATGTACAGGGAGTATAGGTGTGCATACAGCACGTATATGTGTGTGTACATCACCTATACCTGTGTATGTACAGCGCATATATATGTGTATGTACGGTGCATATACGTGTGTGTACATCGCATATACCTGTGTGTGAACGTCGCATATACGTGTGTCTGTACATCACGTACACACATGTGCGCACGTGTATGTGGAAACATGCTGCCCTATGTATAATAGATGCCTCCAGATACAAATATAAATTAATATATATATTTATATATATATATATCAAAATATAGGAATATAATTATTATTTCTGTCCTTGCCCAGGTGTTTTGCCAGCTGTTCCCACAGCATTAATCAAATCTACCCCCCCCAGTCACTTCTCACGGTTGTCTTTAGAGGTTGCCCTTTCGAGGGGCAGGGCGAGCGCTTGCACAGGATGCGGTGCCGTATCAGACAGCAGATTTCTTGTCTAACAACTCGATTTCCCTCCCCTCACACCATGTTTTTTCTCTGTAATGGGGATGGGAGCACGAGTGCTTGTTCTCGCCCCGAGTGTCCCTATTTATGGCTTCAGCAAGTGTGCTTATTGCAGGCTTTTTTCTCTATCAGGCTTGGGTGCACTGGAACAGAAAAAATTTATTGAGTCTTGGTACTCATTAATGTACCCCGAGGTGCAGGGACTCTTCCCAGCGTCTGTACATCCAGCATCAGCTTTGCATTATTGGTTAAAACAGTCTGCATCTGAACTTCCCACGCTCCTCTGTTGGGCTTATAGTGTTTTATGCCAAATGCGTTCAGCACTAATCTTTTTTTTTTTTCCTTCTCCAGTGGATATTAGACAAGCATGTACGTGTTAAAAAATAATAAGCATCAAAGTGCAAAGGCCAGATCCTTCTTATAATAAACATTACAAATACATTGATAACACTGCATGCAGGTAGCGCATGGAGTTGTAAAAACCAGGTTAAAGTACAACCCCCATCGAGAGTGGTGCACTAGACACTTGGCAATGCCAACAGACCCCAAGTGCTCATACGCTGTATCAAAACATAGCAAAGCCACTTATAAATAATATCTGTATTTTATTTAAACTTCATTAAGGCAAGAGCATCTCAGCATATCTGTAGGTAGCAATCTCACCTGATAGGGGTGAGGAAATCTATTTATTCCATGGGAAAAAATATATTTGTTTTATGAGAATGGAATTTTGTATTAAAAGCGATAATTTTTGGCTTACATTGAGTTATTTTTCTTTCCTTGTGTAGGAAACTTCCTTTTCCATGTGCATTGGGAACTCACTGGAATCATTTGGGGATGATTCTCTTTGGAAATGGTCAGAGTATTTAACTGTTTTCTGTAATGTGTGTCAGGATGAGTCCTGGTTTGCTGTCTCCCGGTGCTGAGCTGAGGCTGAGTGGGTGGGAGCATCACTTTGCACTGCAGGAAACACAAGTGGATCCATCAGCTCTGCTCCGTGACGTGCTTCGGCCTGGGCAACACCTAACTGATAGGGAATGTTCTGGTTATCAGCAGAACTGTTGGTAGCATTGATAACACTGGGAAAGAACTGCATAAAGTCAAATGATCCACATGCCCTTTGGAGCTCTTGGATGGGATACTATTTTAAATAAATAAATATTTTTTAGCTTATTTCATGGTTGTATGTCAAATAGCTGATACCTATTTCCGCGCTTCACCATGTGGTGCTCATTACTGTGCAGAGAATCTTTCATCATGTGGTTATTTTTCTCACTTATTCACTTTCCTGAGGTTCTTCCCACAGGTGGAAACGGAAAAAAGGACAGGTAAGTCCCAAACATCTCTTATTGTGACTCAATACAGGGATATAGAAAGAGTAATAGTGATGTTCAATTACCAGTGCATTTTTGTGTCTCCTGGATATTGTCATTCATGTAAAAAATGTATTTGTATCTGGTTTAAAAGGCTTGTCTGAGACTTAGGGATAGCTTTGTGTATCTCTACGCTGTATTAACAGTGAAAAAATGATGCTGTTTGTTATGGTATGGATAACAGCTCTCTTCATGTTAATTCTGACCTCTGGAAAGTGTTCAGCCTCTGCAAGCCAATAGCTGTGCTGCTACCACTAGGGAATATTGTGGAGGGGTCATTTATTAAGTGATGCAGTAGATTTGGGTTTAGCCATTGTAGCTCAAGGTTTTGCAGAGCGCTTTCCAGAGAAAGGACATTTTTGTGCATATCTCCATTGACGTGTTTTCCAGCTAGAAAGGCACAGTTAGGACCAGCTTGTGTCCTATGCTGTGAGCACATGCAGCAACACGAGGGAAAGGTTGCTGATATGCACTGATATGCCATGGTCCAGTTTCTGGAACGCTCACGTGCGTAGCTCAGGATTGCCACGGTTCTACTCTACTCAAGTACCTCCTTCAGGGGAAGTTGAGCTGTTCACATAAGGAAGATGTGCGGAATTGGCCTTAAGGACAGCAGAGATCTTCACGTGAATAAGGTGTGCAGGATTTGGCTGGCAGTTTGGGAGTTCATGGCCTCTCTCCATGACTCAACTGTTGGATATAGCACCTGGCAGCTCTCCAGCCACTTGGAATCACATAGGTGTGAACTTGTTCCAGCAGTGCACCTCTTCCAAGGGCATTTGCCAGTATTACACGGATTTGTTTGCACTCTCGGAAATCAGATGGCTGGGCATTGCCTATTCCCATTTTCCCAGCTGTCCCAGAGCTCATTCGAAACCTGACTTCCTTATATCTGAGTTTTGCACTGAATCTGTTTAAGAGTTATACAATATGATGCAATAGTTTCCATGTTAGAAGTGCATTTGCTCAACGCGCATTTTCACAGTTGCCTCATACTAACAACATTTCTTTGCCCCCAAAATGCTATTTC